AGGAGCCTGATACCAAGGGCTCAAGTAGAAAGCAATGTTTTAAGAATGATGATGGGTTGTACGAGCCCCAAATAAAACAATTTTAAAAAGAAAGGAAAAAAGCGTTAGCCACGTCGTCTACCTTATCACTTCCCGTGGCGACATGTTTCAGAAACGTGCGCTGATATCTTAAAACAAAATGTGCTCGGCTTCTCACTTGCGTGTTGGGCTGCTCACTTCAAGGCCAGCAGTTCAAAACCACCCGAACCACCCATCCTCAGGAGAAAGGTGCGGCTTTGTACTCAGGAAAAGAGTTACCATCTCAGAAACCCACAGGGGCAGTTCTACTCTGTACCGTGGGGGTTCCCTGTGAGTTGGCATCGAGGTTGGGGGTTTTTTGTTTGTTTGTTTGTTTGTTTGTCGGTTTCTTATGAGTGAAGACCAATTTGACCATTTTCCCTCCATTCCTCTAGGGTCTTTAGGGCCCTCCTGCTCTCTTGCCAGTAAGAGGGTTTGTTGTTTTTTTTGCCGTGTGTGTTCCCTGGGGTCAGGAGTCTCCCAAGTCAAACAGTTGACAGCTGAAGCTTTTAGATGTCTCGGGTGGGGAATACCTCGGTTCTTGGCTTCACACGAGAAGGAATTCACGCCGAAGCCGCGTTTGTGATCCAAGTGGGTTTTTATAAAGGACGGAAGAAGTTTCAGGTTTTACAGTCACTGAATGCGGGCAACCCGTGGGACAGCACCCCAACACGGTGGTGGCCTGAGGCCAGAAAGACCTAGGAGCGGCCAAGGGGGCACAGGGCAGGAGCGGAAGGGAAGAAACAGTGGGGTCTCACGGTCAGGGTATTTGAGGCCTTCGGCTGGGAGGCGTGGTCGAAGGTACTGGTTGACTCTGTTGGCTGAATTAAGCCCACCTGGCCTAGTTTGGGCCCACCCAGGTGTACCACCCACCCGACTGGGGCTTGAATTGGTGCGTGTCCCTTAGCCTTTATTGGCTGGCTAAGGGCTCGCCTGTGTCTTCCAACCTCCTGTAAGGAGCCTTCAGGCACAGAGAGGGTACGCCCCTGACCCTGTTTCTGCCTACCTAACAAAGCCACATCAGGCGGGACAAGGGAGCAACGGGAAGCCATGACTGCCCGTTAGGACCACCTCCTCATCCCAGAGGGACTCTGAGGCTTCGAAGCATTTGCTTGTTGTCCTTTACGTTTTGCGGGGAACTGACAACAACAGGGTCACCTCGAGCTGGCACCTGCCACACCTCGGGTAGTTCTGAACCGTAGTAGTCCCACGTGGCTCCTTTGAATGGGTCTGCTCACTTTCCCTTTGAGCACCGTCCTTTCGATCCCTTAGTGTGCTGGGTGCCCTGACTGGGCGGGGCGTTGGGGCTAGGTGTCACCCTCTGCTGGCCCAGCCAGTGAAGTCCTGCGTAGTTCTCCACTGAGCCAGAGTCTGTCCTTTTTCTTTGTCTGCCTGTCTGAACTTTGTATTGTGCCTGGTGGGGAGGTTGAGGGCAGAGCATCAGTTCCACATGGAGTGTGTTAGTCTGGGTAGATTAGAGAGACAAAATCTATTGACAGTCATGTATGTGTAAGAAAGCAATTGAATATTGAGAAAACATCGCAGTCCAGATCAAGTCCATAAGTCCGGTATTAACCCGTATGTTCCATACCAGTCTATAAGTTTCTCTTCAGACTCATGCAACACATGCAATGATGCCGAATACAGGAAGACCACAGGCCAGTGGGTACAAAATCTTGTGGATCCAGTAAGTATCTCAGCGCTGGCAGGGGTCTCCACGTGGCTCCTCCAGTTCCCAGGGCTCTGACTACATCAGTGTAGCTCTATCAGGCTCCGCATCAGCAATGTCTCCCAGGGAGTGAGCATGTGTCCCGCCTCCAATGAGCTATTTATCTCCTTACCTGCCTCCAAATGAGGTCATCAAGCTGCAACCTGACTGACAGACTAAACTCCACCCCTTCACTCCTAAGTCTCAAATTGACATCAGATTATGGAACTACCACAAAACCCATGCATCAAAAATAAATTATTAAAGAAAGTAAAATAATAACATAGGGAATGAGAGACAATGTTTGGAAGCCATACATCCGTCAGTCAAGGTTACAATATTCAGAACATACACAATATCTCCTTCAGATCAACAACAAAGTGACATAGAACTCAATTTTAAAAGGGTCCAAGGCAAGGCACAGCAATTGGTCTATTCACCTAGAACCACAGAGAAAGACGGAGAGCTGGGAACCAGAGGAGGACATGGAATATGTGACGAATTCATTAGTTTTGCCAGGAGACCAGAAGAATTAAATGGTGCCCAGCTACCACCAATCCAGGTGACCACCAACTCTTACCAACCCCATACACAGTGGAAGGAACCACTGGCTGGTCCTGCCCTATCCCCGTGATCGGTCACAGATCAGACCATGTGCTCCGTCGGGAAAAAGACGGGGCTTGCTACTCCTGCAAACAGTCACAATCTCAGAAACCCACAGGGGCAGTTCTGCCCTGTCCTCCAGGGATGCCGTGACTCAGTTGAGTTGGTGGCAGTGATATTATGATCCATAGGGCTGTGGCTATTATGATCCCTTGTGTGAGCTGATTCTTGGAAGTTTATAGCTAGGCCTTCCTTCTGATCCAGTGGTTCTCAACCTTCCGAAGGCCGCAACCCTTTCATACAGTTCCTCGTGTTGTGATGACCTCCAACCATAACATTATTTCCGTTGCTCCTTCATCACTGTCATTTTGCTACTGTGATGAATTGTCATGTAAATATATGATAGGCAGGATGTATTTTCATGGTTACAAATTGCACATAATTAAAGCATAGTGATTCATCACAAAATAATATTGTGGAATACTTATTTCTAATTACAAATAAATGAAACTGTGTCTTGAAGCATGGTGTAGCATGGGTAACAGTCTTCACCCCAGGTACTTGTATGCAGGCATACCTACATGTGGGCGGACCTGCCTGGAGATGGGTAAAGGAGTGGTGTCGCAGTTCCTAAGACTATCATAAATACGTGGTTTCTGATGGTCTTCGGCGACCCCTGTGAAAGGGTTGTTTGACCCCCAAATGGGTCTGGGCCCACAGGTTGAGAACCGCTGTTGTAATCCATCTTAGTCTGGGACCTCCACTGAAAGCTGTCTACCATCATACTGGCACATGAAGCTCCTTTGGTATCTGCAGTCAGATGCATTGGCCTGGAGTCAAACTCTGGTATTCTGCCTGGCAGCTAGAACTCTGCCACTGAACGACCACTGCCTTTGCTGGGGTGGGTATGAGCCTGCATACTTTGGGGTCCCCAGAAACAGCCCCGCTTCCAAGGGAATCTATTAGTCCGGGTTGACAAGAGAAACAAATCCAGAGACACTCTTATGTGTGTCACAGAGAGTTTGATATCAGAGTAATTGTATATTAAAAAAGCATCTGGGCTCAGTCCAGATCAAGTCCCTAAGTTCAATATTAGCCCGTATGTCCACTATCAGTCTATAAATTCCTCTTCAGACTCACGCAGCACATGCAATGATGCCAAATGCAGGAAGATCACAGGCCAGTGGGTGGAAAGTCTTGTGGATCCAGTGGCAGTTGAAGCATCTCATTGCTGGCATGTGTCTCCACGTGTCTCCTCCAGCTCTCGGAGTGTCTCACAGAGGAAAGGGAAGGCAGAGAGGGTGGGTCTGGCCTCCAGTGAGCTATTTTATCTCCCTCGTGCCTCCAAATGAGTTCGTCAAGCTGTGACCTGATTGACAGGCTAGACTCCACCCCTTTGCTCGAGTTGAGAGGAGATTATTATGTAACTATTACAGGGGGCAAGGGGCCAAATGAAGGATGTTCCAGTCATAACGGTCAAGTGTTCCATCCTGTGCTACCTGTTTGCACCTTGCATGTACATTTCAAGGAGCTATGGTGGTGTACAGGTGAAGGACTCTAGCCTACCTGTCGCTCTGCAGGAGAAAGGTGGCAGTCAGCTTCTGGAAAGATGGCAGCCTTAAAATCCCTGCAGGACAGGCCTGCTGTGTCCACTAGGGTGGCTATGACTCTGTATTTCAGGGGTGGCCTCCATCATGCAATCTCGTGCCATGGGTGAAACCCTGTGTCAGGGATCCAGCCCTGCCAGCTGCATCCTCCCAGGGGCAAGATAGGGCCTGCCAGGGCTTCCTCTGTGTTCCCTGGCAGAGGGGCACCGTCTGTCTATGAGACAAGCAAAGATGTACCCGCTCAGGGACAGGGTCTCGCTGTGCTGGGTCTGAGCAGTATCCCAATATAATGAACGGATGCTTAGCAGGCACTTGATAACGGTTGTTTAACAAAGGGATGGATCCATGCTGTGAGAAAAGGAGCCCCGCCCCCGTTGAGGGAGTGGTTACACATCAGGATGCCATCTGCAGGGTGGACAGTTCGAAACCACCAGCAGCTCTGAGGGAGAAAGCCTGAGCTTTCTATTCCCATCAACAGTTAAAGTCTTGGAAAACCATGGGATTGGGAGCTGGGGGTGGGGTGGGTGGGGGTGTCTATGAGAGCAGATAGGTTCTATAAGAAAGCAGTCTGTATTCAAGGCATTTGGGCTTTGTTTTATTTTCAACCTCTCTCTCTCTCTCTCTCCTCAATACCACGCATACTGTGGGTTTTCTCCCTCCTTCCCACCCTCCCTCTTTCCCCTTTGCCCCTTCTCCTCCACTCCCCTCCATTTCCTTTCCCTTATAACCTGACCCCACTTGCCTCCTGCAGCATTTGCTTATAAAGCCCCTGTGGTTCCACTGGGCCCAGCAGATAATTCAGGACAGCTTCCCCATCTCAAGACACCCCCCACCCCCACCCCCCACCGGATTCCCACGCCCCATTTGTCACAGGAGGCACCTTTTTGCAGCCTGCAGGGATGAAGATGCAGTTATCTTTGGGGGGAGTGGGGAGCGTCTTCAGAAAGCCATCCTGGCCCCCGGGGAGACTCTGACAGCATGACTGTCCAAGTAGCCTCTGTGACGACGCCATGCTTTGTTTTCAGATGCAGAGAGAAATTGTGTACGCGAGAGGAGATGGCCCTAGCGCCCCACGACCCGGCTCCACGGCTCATCCGGCCCACGCCATCCCGAACTCTCCCCCATCCACTCCGGTGCCCCATTCCATGCCGCCCTCCCCGTCCAGGATCCCTTACGGGGGCACCCGCCCGATGGCTGTGCCCGGCAACGCCACCATCCCCAGGGACAGGCTGTCCAGCCTGCCCGTTTCCAGATCCATCTCCCCAAGCCCGAGCGCCATTCTGGAAAGGAGAGACGTCAAGCCGGATGAAGACCTGGGCGGCAAAAACGCGGCCCTGTACCGCGGCGAGGGTTTCTACGGCGACCCGTACCTCTACCACGAGGGCCGCATGAGCATCGCCTCGTCCCACAGCGGGCACCCGCTGGACGTGCCCGACCACATCATCGCCTACCACCGCACGGCCATCCGCTCGGCCAGCGCCTACTGCGGCCCTGCCCTGCCCGCCGAGCTGCACGTGGAGCAGTCCCTGTACCGGCAGAAGTCGCGCAAATACCTGGAGAGCCACCTGCCCACGCTGGGCGCCAAAACCCCGCCCGCCTCCCCGCACAGGGTGGGCGACCTGCGCATGATGGACTTGCACCCGCTCGCCGGCGCCCACGGGCAGGCGCACACGCTGCAGCCGGAGCGCGCCTCCCCGAGCCGCCAGGCCTTCAAGAAGGAGCCGGGCACCTTGGTGTATATTGAGAAGCCACGCAGCAGCGCAGGGCTGGCCGGCATGGTGGACCTCGGGCCGTCGCTGTTGGAAAAGCAGGTGTTTGCCTACAGCACTGCTACGATGCCCAAAGACAGAGAGACCAGGTAAGGTGCGGGGAGGGCCTGGACACCGTCCAGCCCCAAGACAACAGATGGGGGGTGGGGGAAGGGGAGGGGAGCGACAATGGCCCCGGGGGGGTGGGGTTGTACTGCTCGGCGTTGGGATCCCAGTGCAGCGTGTTACCCACTATGACACTAAGCAGTGTTGGAACCCAGGATTCAAACGCCCGGCCTTTAGAGGAGTTTCCAACTCATTGTCACCCCTGGGAGAACTGGCCCGGTGGGTTTCGGGAGACTACGACATTCCTACGGGGTGGAAAGCGAGCCTCCTCTTTCTCCCGCAGAGTGGCTGGTGGTTTTGAACTCCTGACCTGGGGGTTAGCAGCTCAAAGAGTAACACTGTGCCAACCGAGTTATGTGTCATATTGATTGCTGTGCCTGCCTTCCGAGCAAGGGTTTCCTGGCCTCCTTGGGGCTGGGGGGAGGGGTGTGTGGGAGGTGGGGGTAGGGGGGAGAAACACAAATGGTTAACACGCCCCACGGCTAATAACCATGATGAAAGGTTTGAGTCTACCCAGGAAGCGTCTCGGAAGAAAGGCCTGGTGATCTAATTCGGAGAAGGCAGACACTGAACCCTATGGAATTCTGCCCTGCTCCGATCCACTTAGGGCCGCCCTTGGGGTTGAGCTCCGTGGAAACTGGTTTGGTTGGATTGCTGCTGTTGTTAAATCATTTTGTGTCGATTTTAATAATGAGGGAGAGAATATGCTGACGGGCAGGAATGGATCTGCCTTTGGAAGTCCAGTTCCGTTCAGACGTGAAGTGGCGGTGCGCGTGCGTGTTCTCCGTGGAATGCAATTTCACGGGCTCCGCTGGTTTCGGGAACTGGCACGACCGTGCCCTTGCTTGCTTTGAGGATGAGCCACGTGAACTTGCATGAAAGGAGGGTGGTGTCGATGTTGGTCCTCACTGGGGAAGGGTGCTCATGAGATGGGCAGGGAATTTCTAGTGGATGGGACACTCTGGGTGGGCATCGACAATTTTCAATATTTTTAAAGAGAAGTCTGTAGAATTACCAGCCTAGAAACCTTGAACTGCATCTCGGAGAGGTTCGCACAGTCCAGATCTCCTCTTTTTGGAAGCTCCCTCTATGCCATTGCACTTTGAGGAAAGGCCAACATTTATACCTGTTTTCATGCACCAAAAGAAATCCTGAGAGGGCTTTTGCTTATGGGAGGGGATTGGGGGGAGGGGAGAAGGGAACTAGTGTTCCGTATGTTTGCAGAGAGCCTTTACAGTGGTGAGCTGTTAGGACCAGAGCATGTACACTGGTACAGATCAGAGCTGGAAACACAGGGAATCTAGGACAGATAAACCCCTCAGGACTAATAATGAGAGTAGTGATACCAGGAGAGGAAGGGGAAGGTGTGGGGAGTAAGGGGAAACCAATCACAATGATCTACATATAACCCCCTCCCAGGGGGACAGACCACAGAAAAGTGGGTATGTATATGTGTGTGTGTGTGTGTGTGTGTGTGTGTGTATATATATATATATATATTATCAAGGGTTCATGAGAGAGGGAGGGGGAAAATCAGCTGATACCAAGGGCTCAAGTGAAAATCAGCTGATACCAAGGGCTCAAGTGGAAAGAAAATGTTTTGAAAATGATGATGGCAACATAAGAAAAACCTAAATGATCTTCTATATCTGGAATCATCAAAAGTCATTTGAAAAGTGATGGGGAAAGATTCGTGCTTCCTGGACCGAGAGGGTCGGTATCGCAGCTGCCATCTTCTGACACAATCTCTGTTCTGAGGGTGATCGTGTTTAAAGCTTGTGGCAGTTAGATACTCCTCAATCAACTTGCCAAGGGGTGGAGTCTAGTCTGTCAATCAGGTCGCAGCTTGATGACCTTATCTGGAGGCACATCAGAGGTAAATAGCTCGCTGGAGGCCAGGTTCACTCTCTGTGCTACACGTTCCTATTGACAAGCCACACGGACCTATGCTGATGGAGCTAGAGCTCTAAAGCTAGAGGAGCCACGTGGAGACCCACGCCAGCACTGAGAGGGTTCCACCACCACTGGATCCACAAGACTCTCCACCCACTGGCCTGGGATCTTCCTCCATTCTGCATCATTGCATGTGTTGCATGAATCTGAAGAGGAATTTATAGACAGGTATCAGACATATGGGGTAATGTCAGACTTATGGACTTGATCTGGACTGGGCTGGGATCTTTTCTCAATATACAATTGCTCTTTCTCACACACATATGTGTGTCTCTGGATTTGTTTCTCTGGTAAACCCAGACTAACACAGTGCTGGCATTTTTTATTCATTCCCCGAGGGGTGAGATACCCTGTTTCCCCGAAAATAAGACAGTGTCTTGTATTAATTTTTGCTCCCAAAGATGTGCTAGGTCTTATTTTCAGGGGATATCTTATTTTTCCATGAAGAATACAGTACACATTTATTGTTGAACAAAAAAGAAGAAAATTTATTACCTGTATACGGTATGGTAGTAGTTGTCATCACAAACCAGCATAACCAGACAAACTGAATCCTACAGTATCAAGAATTTCTTGTTACTACCATTATTTCCATGTACAACAATCTATGGTACATTTACTCACACTTCCTGTCTGCTCTGGCTGCGCTGCGGCCAACAGTGAGCTGCGTGGCGGCGCCCACCACTATGGTCCAGAGTCCAAAGTTACAGTAGCTTCGGGGGGCCCTTATCAGGGAGGCCTTATGTTCGGGGAGGTCTTATTTTCAGGGGATGCCTTATATTTCAGCGAGAGGCAAGACTAAGTAGGTTTTATTTTCAGGGGACGTCTTACTTTTGGGGAAACACAGTAATACAGGGAGAATTTTTATCCCACACCTTGCCCAGGTCTGGGCTCACCTGTGTTATCTCTAGAGGGTAGAATCGCAGGCTGACAGACAGACAGACACCCCTCTCTAAGTGGAATCATGTAGAATTGCTGTAACTGAGGGATCTAAATGCCACTCCTTAAATATATGGCAAGGAACGTATGATTCACCAGGGCAAACAAGTCGTGTCTGGAACTTCGGGTACCAGCATTGCGACCAACTCCCCACTGCTACTGAGCCAGCTGGGACGGGGGCACGGAGGGTGAGAAATGTCTGGTCACTCTCCAGCCAAATCGGACCTTTGGAGAGCCTGGGGACCAGTCTGCAATGCCTTAGCGGTGCATGGGAATCATGGGAGGATGGAGGTCAGCCATCCTGTCCTAAGAGCCCTTTAGGGGCTGAGTGTGATGTTGAATCATTTCCAGTGATGTATGTGCTGTCGTCTCCTTTTCACATGCGTGTAAACAGAGGGAGTGTGAACTGTCTGTGTTCATTGAAGGGTGGGCTCATTGCCACTTGGCAACCCCTATTCTGTCTGGTGAGCGAGAGTGCCAAATCTCACGTTCCCCCATCAGAGGAGGGAGTTGTGAGCCTCTCAGGCAGAATTCTTCAAACAGGGTTCCAGCACTTGTAGCTAAGAGACTGTTCTGAAAGGATATTCACAATCATGACTGCAGTTGGATTTTCGTAATGTTTCTGCCATATATAAATATTTAAATACATATACAAGTACCCTCCATAATATAGTAGCACATTTAGGCAGAATAGGTGAGAAAGTAAAGGAATTGTTTTGGTAGGTGTGTTAGTCTGGGTAGACTAGGGAAACAAATCCAGAGACACTCGTGTGTGAGAAAGAGCTTTATATAAAGAGTAATTGTATATTAAGAAAACATCTGAGTCCAGTCCAGATCAAGTCCATAAGTCCAATATTAGCCCATATGTTGCTTCTAGTCCATAAATTACTCTTCAGACTCATGCAACACATGCAATGACACCAAATGCA